CACAAGGAGTGGCATAATTTTCAGTCACGAACGACGTACCACCAACAAAGCACTGTGATACTGTGCCATACGGTCAGAGGTCACTGATCAACTAATCCGCTCTGGGGTAGCTGGGCGTAAGAAGTACATTAAAGTGAGTTCTTTAATAACTAAGGGTAGCCTTCCAACGAGAGTGTCGAACTTCTAACATTTAGTTTCTGGATTCACTGACCACATTGATATTTCAGCTACTTTCTGGTGGACATTCAGATTTATATCTAAGGAGCCCGAGATCAGTAGCTGTACGTAACAGTTACCCGCCTTGTTTCCGTTCAACAAATAACAAAAAGGACGCATTCGTTACAAACTGAATGGAGACAAAATATCTCATCTAAGAGTTTTGAACAGAGCATCAGCAATACTGATGGATAATCGACAGAGAACAAGAGAAGAGAGACTGTTAGAACTATTACACCGACTCCAAAACTATCCAGATATTCAATGATCTATATGAGCTGCAAACTTCACCACCTAAAGATTTTGTAAATAAGTCGGAAAATACCTGAAGATTACCAAAGCAATACGATTAAATTTTGGTATTTACCACTTTTGAAACGTGAAAAGGCCACAAATTGCCAATCAGTCGACAAGCCTTAAGATAATTAAAGCAAACCGAAAATTTAAGATAGCAAGCTAAAACGTCCAGTGAGCAAACTTACACCATCAAGTGACCTTCTATCTTAAGAATCATAATTCCATCTCATGAATCATAAAGATCCAAAAATATCTAAAATAACATTTTTGGGATATTAAGAATTCGGTAATTCGAGATCTCACGAAATGTTTCCACCTGTAAATAAATCATGAAGCTACGAAAGCTTCATGACAGCTACGAAGCCACCACATATTTTGCAAAACGTGCTGCTTTAAAATACCAAAATACCGAAATACAAATAAGCTATATCTGTTAGTGGATGAATAGCAGTAGCATATACCTGCAGTCCTGAAAAACTACGTCCGTAGGATAGAAATTACAACATAACATCGACCATCGACTTTATTATCATTAACACAATTAAGATCAACATGGTCAAGGCAATGACGTCGATAATGATAACGATGATAATGTTAAGGATAGTAATAATGCTAATGGTCAAAAACACAGCAATCATGCTGATAAAGATGGTGATAGGTGTATGAATGCTTACGCGGATGTCTACGACAACTCAAATAGGCTATGGTAATTATGATGATCATGCAAATGATGATTGATGACGGAGTATTTTACCTTCGCAATGCCAACAATTCCAGCTGTCGCAGTCTGCCAACTTCCTCGATGTTAACGGCTATTTTATTCACTACACAGTCTGTCCATACGCAAAATCTTGAAATGCAATGGGATGCCTAATGATATAGCGTCCATTTTGGAAGATATGTATGTAAAAACTGTGTCCGTCATCAAAGTCGAGGAAGATCTATCTGAGTGGTCCCTGCTATGAATTTCGACAGGGAAATATTATTTCGCTTCAGCTATTCAACACTGCTCTCGACTTTCTCCTCCAAAGAAGTACTGCTTTTGGCAGATATGAAGGTCTCATTCTAGAGGGAAAGCGTAGTTCAAGATATCTGGCGAAATATCTTGCTGACTTGTGCTACGAAGATGATACCATGTTGATAAACAGTATAGTGAGTGGACTCTGTCACTCGACGGCTTTCGTATGCAACGCAGGTCGGAGAGGCTGCCTCCTACTAAGCGTACGGAAGTCAAGACGCATTGGAACATATCCAATAGAGCCGATCTACAAATATAACAGGGAAGCGAAGGCTTTCATTAAATTGACAAGTTTAAACATCTCAGCTTCACCATTTCTAGTGATGGCATCATTCAGCCAGAGTTAAATTAAAGGGTCGTCCTAGCTTTGAGTATTTTGGAAACCTGTCCAATATTCTGGCTGAGAAGGGAGTTACTATTCATATGAAATCCGTTTGTACCCTGCCTCTCTCAGGTGAGTGATGTTGCACAGGATTTGAGCAAGCATGGAGACACTTGCTCTAACGAAGCAGCAAGAAAAACAGTTGAACTGCATACGTTAGCGTTGCCTTCGAAGCACGATGAGTGTTAAACAGCAGGACCACGTAAAGAATGACCGTATTCTCTTCAGAGCACAAGTGACCTCAGGAGGTTTGAAGATTAAAAAACGTCTGTTGGCCCTGCTAGGCAAGCTGATCGAGTAATACACCATTTACTCCGGTCTGTGAGCCGAAACATTAGACGTCGACCAGGAGCTCAGCATACAAAAGATGGTAACAGGCAGAGACATCTGCTTTCGGAGAGGTATAGTTCCTTCAGCGATGCAAAAAGCAGTGCCTAATAGCAAAAGTATTGAAAAGCTTAGCAAACAATGAACATCATAAACCAGAGATGTTCTTATTATGCAAATGGCTCAAGGTAATTATCTCAGCAAATACACTATCTCACCTTGACTGGAACAGCGCCACGGATGAACTTCACGCCGACTTCGTCAGCCATGAATTTGCCGACCCTCTCCGCCATGTCCTGGTCGAAGCCACGCAGCAATATTGAGCGAACCATCACCGTTACGTCGAGGCCGAGTTCCCGAAGAAAGCCAGCGCACTCTAGTGACACGTACGACGCCCCAACACATAGCGTTTTGCCCGGACAGTACGAAAGAGAAAAGAGATCATCGCTAAATGAACAATATCAAGTTTTGAAAGTCACTTAAAAAGTGACATTTCACAAAACTAATCTGTTTCAATAATCTCTATCGTGTGGCAACTTTAAGTTTTAGACAGAAGCTACAGTGCAGGCATAGGCTGAGTATCCCTAATCCGCAATCCGTAACACTACACTAACTTGCTTCTCAGAACAGTTTTATAATATCTTTTGATAATATGAACAACGGATGCAACACCCTTCCAGTTCCTCGTCCACTTAACCTTCCACTGGAAGGTAAATTCCTATCTCCTGATATCCGGTCAATCACAAAAGAACCTCCTTCTATCCCCAACGATGGCCCGATGGTAAAACGTTATCGT